CCAAAGCGGAGACGATGTATTTGAATAACAAATATGTCTGTATCTGAAGCCACAAGTATGCCAAGTATATTTTTAGGTACGGGGGATTGTCGAGTCCATGAAACCACAAGGAGTTGGAGTCTGGTTTTCTTAACAAGCACACCACTTTTTTTTTTTTTTTTATTTGTTACACATCAAATATTTGATTCTTTTTTCTTTTTTTTTTTTAGGCAGTAACAGCAGTTTCTCTTCGCAGGGTGTCATATTACATTAAGTGTCGCCATCCTGTGAAAACCATGTATCATGTATAAAAGTGTCAGCTTGTTTTTTAAAACAGACTACTAACACACGATGCAGCAGAACCAGAGATATTGCTTTTTTTATTCCACACATTACTTTTCCTTGTCAAAGCCTAGTTCCTACATTACCCACAATGCAACTCAACCACAGACAATTTGGTTGCAGATTTAGTTGTTATGCTAGTAGCAGCTAATGTAGCCTTGAGCTGCTAGCCTCTAGTACAAATGAGGAGTGAGCCACAGAGGTCTTGCAAGCTCACTTCTTTCTAACTTCACACTACCAGATTTTTTTAATTTCCAGTCTTGTAGTTTTCAGACCCAACTTACACTGCCTCAAGTGACATCACTTAAGGCGATTTATCAGACCTGGTGCAGGTTCCCCTGAAGCCACAAATGGCTCTGAACAAATGTTCTTTTTAACTAAGAACATCTGCCCTCTTTTCAGATGTATGATGCATGATGTATGAACATTTTCTCAAACTATAAAAGAACACAGAGTTCACTTTGTTTGCAAACTTCAAAATCTCCACGTTTGCACAGCGACGGAGGAATCTTTTGTATTGATTTGAGTTTAGCAAATGGTTGGATGTATTTGTAGTTCACAGATCAGAAGTAGATGTTTTTTGTTTTTTTACATTTCAACACTGTTGACCACATTTAGCTTCAGCTCAGAGCAAGCTCTGCTTTATTTTAAGTGTTGACATTGAAAGCTGCTGACATGTGAAGTTGTCGTGTTATGACAGCACGTCAAAAATGATGAGCGAGTGAATGCTGAATAGAGCACAGTGACCCCCAGCACTGGTTGAGAAACGTCATCTGAATGTGTAAAGGGAGCTTGAATACAATTAGCATATGAAAACCAGACGCATTCTGAAAAAGCTGGGCCATCTGCTTCAGATTCAAATGTCTGAGCAACTTTATTTTTAACCTAAACTAGAAATGTGTTGCATTTTCATGGCCTCCTTTTATCTCTCTTTGATCCCTACTGTCCATCACTCTGTCCTACTCTTCCCATCCACCTTCTTCCTCCTCTCTCCGAGCTCCTTCTCCCCAAAAGGTCAGTATCTCCATTTATTATCTCGAATCTTCTCCTTCAAACCACCTCAATCATCATTCTCCTCTGATCTCCTTTTGTTTTTCTTGTCAGCAACCTTTTCTTTACTCTTCTTTCAGTTTTACTGCTCATCCTTCACTTCTGACAGCCTCAGCCATTCATCATAGGCCCAGCATGAGGGTGACACTATGAAAGACTAGCATGTGTGTGTGTGCGTGCATGTGTGTGTGTCTGGGGCACTGGCCTACAATACCTTAAAGTAACTGTTTTTAAAGGGGTCATTCCTCAATCTGCATATGATATCCTGTCTTTCAGCAAATCACTATAGACATTCATTACTCTCTCTCACACACACACACACACACACACACACACACACACACACACACACACACACACACACACACACACACACACACACACACACACACACACACACAGAGCTTCTCAGCTAGTGGGGATTGGGGGCAAATGCTGTCACAGTTTTTAAAAGGCTTCCCGTGGTTAGACATGCTTGAAATGACATTCTGGTTCACTGGAGGAGGGGAGTGGGAAAAGGAGTGGAGGAGAGAAAGACAGGAGTGGAGGGGGAGGGCAGTTAAGTTAGGGAGTTAAATAAAATCCAAGGGATGTAGGAATGATAACGGCGGTTGCTGAGTGTGATCTAGGAGGGCAGAGAAAAAAGAAAAATAAGAAATGAGAAAGAAAATAAAAGATAATAAACTTTACAGCATTTTTAAAATAGTGTTCATACTCAACATTGCTGTTGGGTTTGTTCTCATACAACGTAACAATTTTGACATTAGGTGTTTTTCTTGTCACTGTAGGTGACAGCACAGTTAAATCAGCTGCACGTCAGTCAAGATAAGGACATAACAGAATCAATGAGTTCTGAGGTTAAGGGTGTGGGAGTGTAAATTAAACACTTTAAATTAAGTGAGTGTTCATGACCTAGGCTGATCTGCTAATATGTCAAGACTCACCAAAATGCCCCTGAAAGGAATAATTCTTGTTATTCACTGTCAGGGACAAGGTGATAGACGAGAGCGACACACATGTGACTTTTTGAAAGAGTTTTTTCATTTTTATTTTATAAAAAAGCGAAAAAATACAAAAAATACTTCCAAAAATTCTGGGCCCATAAAAGAGGTCAGTGTAACAGAAGTACACCTAAGCACTAACAGAAGGGAACTTAACAGCACAAACTGACCTTACAAAATGAAACATGGGGAAAACATATACAGTGGCTGTGCATTTAGACACACAAGCGTAATCAGAGTCAGCAGCAACCCCCAGAGAGTGGAAGCTCAAAGAGAACTGAAAGTGTGTGAAAGTGAAAGTTTATGAAACTAATATAGCAAAACTGACAAAGAAACTTAACCCAATGTGTGCACCCCAAATATAGATAACTATACTGTCAAAAATTGCTAATAAAACTGTGTATGTCATATTAAACCAAAATGTTTATATATGTGAATTTTGAGTGTCATACTAAAAAAAAGAGAGACTACTAAGCTCGGTAAATGAAACGGATGAAAAGAGTTACCACCATGCCTTTTGGTTCAGTGTGTGGCTGCTGGTGCCGTCACACTAATTGATTTTCTTTTTGATGCAGTGTTGGCAGTCAGTCTTCCCATAATGTTGCCTTAGTGGCAGACTCTTGAGGCCACGAGCTGATTTATATTTTCTTTATTTATTGTATTTTCTTTGATGTGTTAGGCCTTGTTCCTACTGACAGGAGCATTGGCTTGGTACTGTTCTGTATATTAAGGTTCATGTGGGAAAGGGGCTTCAGAGAGGAGGGGATGAGGGGAGACAGAAGAAGAATAGGGCAGGACTGTTTATTTATGAAGTGATTTTTCTTCTCATCGAGGAGCGAGGCAGCCAGGGCGCCTATTGTTTGTCACTAATGAACAACGTGAACGAGTGTGAGAAAGAAAAGAAGTGCAAAGAACAGCGGCAGCTACAAACGAGACAGATTAACATGAAAACAAAAACTGTTTGCCCTGTCTATTTAACCTCAAAATTTCAAAAATCACCATTATGTGTTGGGAAAAAAATAAGTGCTTAATGTTGTGCTGTTTCAGGTCTGTAATGCTTTTTGGTAAAAGCAAAAGTGTTCTCAGCACACACACAAAGATTTGTCTACAGTAAATGCCTTATAGGCAAAAGGATAGCTCTGAGAAGGAAATGGTCTATTAGAGTGTCTCAACCCATTTATTTATTAGTATAAAAGCTCCAGGCTGGGGTGATGTAACCTCTAACAGCTCTTTTAAAGTGTCTCTGCCAGCTACCTGGTTCGTTAATGGCACACCACTCCGTGAAGAGGTGTTTTGAGTAGGTTTTCAAAGCTGTTTTTGGTTCTCATTTTTTAATTCATGTGCCATGCTCAAGAATATCATTTTTTTCATGTCTCAAACAGTTGTGGGTAATCGTAAAAAAAAAAAAATGCTTGTGACTGGTAATCCCGGCGCAGACTGTGAAGTTATCTAACAGACAAACTTTGGTACAGTTTGACTGAAATATTGTTGTGCATAGGCCTGTTCCAGATCTTCTCTCAGGCTGAGAATGAAGGTCATTACTTTGGGCAAAACCCAAGCCATAAGGACACGTTAAGTACACTGTAATTTCACCTTCTCATGTATCAAGACGAACAATTGAAAACCACTCCGTTTAGCACACTTGAAGTAGGCCCTTGCTCTTAATTACTTTGCCACTTTGGGCTGCTGGTGAGGGTATGCACGCAGTCGTTTTACCCAGGGTTCACACTGTTGGCTGTTACTCTATTTAAGAGCGTCTCATAAATTTGCTGAACATATACTCGTCAGCTATCCACAATTAGGCGATGCACGCACATTTCAGGAACTCCTGTGATCATGTGATGTATATGTGATATTTAATTAGATTATGTAACTGACTGTAACTGTTTATTGAGTCGCATCTGATTGGCCAGTCAGTTTTTCTTCAGTCTGTGGTTATCTAGAGTCTATCGGTTATGAAGCGCTGCTCAAAAACTAGTTTGATCAACAATTGGTTCCACTTTCACCCTGACAGAATTCATGCTGAAATTGAAAAGTTGGGAACAGTTATCAGTAAGCTGTTAAAGTCGCAGAATCCCACAGATCCTGCTGCTTGTTTTCAATATCCTCCTCACCCTCCTCCTACTTTTTTTCTAAACCCCATCTTGCTCCTGTCTGCTCCCTGCCCCCGTTTTCTTTCCACCCATGTCCTCCCTGTGTGTGTGTGTGTGTGTGTGTGTGTGTGTGTGTGTGTGTGTGTGAGTGTGAGTGAGTGAGCAGGTCAACCCTCCCTACTAGGCAAGTGAAGTAAACTCCCCCTTTTTGCCTCTCTCTGTCTCTCTCTCCCTCTCTCTCTCAGCTGGGCTGCTACTGTCAGGCCGGGTTGGAGGACAATCAACTCTGCAACTGCTGCTGCTGCTGCTGGTGTGTTTTGTGTGGTGTGGACTTTCTCACGTTGTGGTGGACACACACACACACACACACACACACACACACACACACACACACACACACACACATACAGGAGCTTGCTTGCATGCCCGGTACTCCCCCCACCTCTCACTCTCTCTCTCTCTCTCTCTCTCTCTCTCTCTCTCTCTAGCACATACATACACACTCTCAGAGGAAGAGGCAGTGTGAGTGGTGGACCCTGTGGAGTGTGGAGTGTACTGAAGAGAGGAGAAGAGAGGAGCGGAGCGGCAGACTCTACCATGCCAGTGCAGGGAGGAAGGCTGAAGCGCTGTGTCTCTCTCTGTCTTTGGAGCCGGAGTCCTCTGCTGTTGCTTGGACTGTTCTCTCTTCACACACAAGCACACGGTGAGTTACTGCAAACTTTCTCTACTCACCGCTGACCCGTGGTGCTGTTTTCACATAGCTTTGCCATGAAGTTGCTCTGTTGCTACTCAACTAATGTTTGTCAGATTTTCTTTTTACACTTTGAAAATGTAGTTGTGATTTCTTTCCTACCTACTGCAAACAGCACTGGTGTTTTTATTCTCTATATTGTGTTTCACATCTTTAATGTTACTTGTACATTTTGTGGATGCATGTGTGTTACTTTTAGAAAGTTGCAGCTTTAGGCTGTGCCCTGCTATGCAGTGTCTGTGGTCTGTAAGCAACTCATGATAACGGTCAGGTTTAGGAATTGGCTCCAAAACGTAGCAACTGATGTAGATTTGATCCTAAACACACAACATGTATGTGGTTGTTTTACAGCAGGGAATCACTCATGTTGAATGTTACATGTCTGCATCACAGCAGTATGTTGCATTTCATCAAGGCCAGAAGCTCATTGTTATTTAGCAAGTGACAATTTATGGTCTTAGTTTCAGTTGGTGCAGCTGTTTTGTATGTTTGTTATAATGATGACAGTGAACTTGAGGCAAGAAATCATTTTAAAAATGTATTATAGAGCAAATAGACAATACTTTTCAGGTTTGTATATTATATCAATATGATAAATCAACAACAATTTCTTGAAGCGAACAATAGCTTTTCTACTGACTATACAAAAACAAAGACAAAGACAATGTATTTGTTAGAGAAATTTTTGTAAGGTAATATTTCATTGATTATCTGACCACTTTGTCAAATTCACATTCACTCTGAAGTGCTATAGTTGCTCTGACATTCAGTTACATATCTCCAATCACAGTGTACTTGCTGTTTTGTCAAAAACAGACAGTTATATTGTCATGAAGCGACACTGTTACCGTTAGCCACATCAGCCGCTTTGTCTGTGACCATGTTTGGTATCTGGAGTGTGATTGGCGAGGTGTTAAGAGAGAGAACATGTCAGATTTAATAGTCTGTTATGTTTAGTCTCCTGATGTGTGTCATTAAGGGTTGACTCTCCGCTTCTATTGTTTCTTCTGCACAAAGGTTTAACCACAGCACGACAGCAGTTGAGTGTAGATTATCTTTCAAATCACTGATTCAAAAAAAGTCAGTATTGAAGTATTGAATTTAAATGAAAGTGCGCTGTTAAATTGTCCACTATGCAGGCTTGTATTTCTGATGAGTGATAGTGTCTGCACATATTTTTCTTCTCTGTCTTTATTGTCGGTCTATTTAAAGTCATTGGAGATTGTTTCAGCTGGGAGCCCTGAAGTTAAGCCAGCAAGGGCTCATGCCTCATACCCAATGTGCTATGTGCTGAGGTCGTCCTGCGACCTCTGGCTGCATGTCATCCCCTCTTTCTCGTCCATCTTTCCTGTCATTGTCACCGGTTGAGTCGGCTTTCCTATGGGGTTCATGCTGAGTTACCCCTTCCTTTTGTCTTGTTCTCTTCGCTCGCAGATACAGTTTTATCATTTAAAGCCAAGCCTTGGAAGGACTATCGGTTTCTTTTTTGTTTTTTTTTTTTTGTTTTTTTTTACATTTAAGCATTTGCAGTGCACACATGAGCACACATGGACACAAACATAAAAATCGCTTGAATGTTTCAGATACATGGTAACACTGATGGCTCTATCCAAGAACCCACAGAACAGCTGCCAACGAAGAAGACATATGTGAAATCTGACAAAAAGTTGGACCCCTACCAAGATTTTTTTTCTTGTTTGTGTTATACTCCCAGCAAGTCATTCATACTGTCATTTCCTTAATATTGCATTGATATTATTTCAGAGAAAGTATATTCATCGCCTTCTAGCCATTTTTATGGTTTAAATTTCTCTCACGCTTTATGCTCAACTGGTGCATGTGGGACATCGGTAAGATCTATGTGCAGTGTTTTTGATTAGGTGTCAGGTGTTGGGATGTAATGTTTCAGTCCATTTACTAATACCAGTATAACAATATTGCGCCCCCTACAGGTTAGTGAAACAGCTTCCTCGTCCCTGATATATGTCAGATCAGGGCAGAGTGCTCCCTGAAAACATCTCAGGATGTATTTTTTTTCTTCTTCATTCATATTTCCCCAAACTCCTGCCAGCACTGCCATAACTTTTATTGCCTAATCTTTATAGGTTAAAGAATAAAATTAAAAATGCCAGAATATTTCTAAACTATGTCTGTGTCAGAGCATTTTGAAATTTTCCAGAATGTAAATTAAAAAAAAAAAAAAAAAGAGCATATAACATAATCAACACAATGAGTGTGTCATTTCTTTTTTCAGTCTGATGTTTTTAGGCAAGCACTCTCAAACTGTTAAAATTGTATTCAAATAACGTTTCGCCCAAGGCCTGTTAGCAACAGGTTCATTCATTGGTTGACATGTAGATGATTGATTGGACCAGCAACAGGCTCATTCATCGGTTGACACACAGATGATTGATTGTCCTGGCAATAGATTCAACTGTGACTCAATAGGCAAATATTTGTTTTCTGAAAAACTGTATGCAAAAAAGGATTGAGCAGGTATATATATATATATAGAGAGAGAGAGAGAGAGAGATATGTTTTATTTATAGTTAACTCACTTACTTCTATCTGCATTTTACTCAGAGGTTTGATCCTGTTTCTTCCCCTCTCGCTCCTGAATGACACATGGATGCTTGATAGACTGAATGGAAGTCCTGGTCAGCTAGTATTTCATAGTTCCATAGCCACAGGTGAACTGGAGTTGTTATTATCGGTCTTAGACATGCAGCAGATAGCTACAGTGTTGTGTCTGCATGAAGGTCACAGTTTGCCCTACAGCACATCTAGGCCATTGTCTCTGCAGTGAACGAATAGAGGACGGTGTGTTCATTATTCTTCAAGGAGAAATGAGAGTGTAGGGAATGCACACACTTATGCACACTGTGTAAATCACACACACACACACACACACACACACACACACACACACACACACACACACACACGCAAAGATCTTCTGTGACCTTCCACCTACGCCGGGCTGCAGCCTTCAATGTGAGTTCTGGGAAGTGAGCAGTGAGCGTGATAGCTTACATTTCATTGTCCTTGGTGGAAATAAGCACCGCTGTATCAGTTTTCACAGTCAAAGCTCTGCCAGTTGCTTTGCTTTTGTCACTGCCCGCTAATGAGACTCTGTTGCTCTCTGCAGAATTTCAGGTTTTGTTTGAACAGAATAAAACACCTACCCGGTTTTTAGCCAAAATAATCCATTCACACACACACACACATGTTGTTGTGTGACACTGTGTTCTCGAAGCACCGTGAATGTGCTGTAGCATTCTTCAAATCACATTTTACAGTGACCTGTTTTTAGTTTTCAGAAAGATCTGTGTGCTGCATTTCTTTCTCTCTCTGTCTCTCTCTCTCTCTCTCTCTCTCTCTCTCTCTCTCTCTGTGTCAATGAACACCTTGCGTGGTAATTTCAGGTTTCACTGAGTTGATGTTTTCTTCACATAAGGAAGACATTGTTCAAAACTGTGTCCCCATGGTGTAAAAGAGACCAAATACAGTTGGTTCAATTTTGTTATTAGCATTTATTGTCACTCATAAGAAAATGGCTGCATCACTTCAAAAGCATTCTGTTTAGTCTATTCAGAGACTCAAACAGTGAGGATTCATAGGGTTAGTCAGCTCTCAGGAAGTCACTGACGAAACTACAATCCTTCTGGAAAGTTGATTAAGAAATTTCGGAGTAAAAAGCTGTTTGGAGAAAATAGAAGCAAAGGGCATCAAAGCTGACTCACTCTACCAAGCTGTTAGTAGTGCCTTCTGCTCCTCAGTCTCAAAGCCTCCTGACAGGATGTGTTGAGTTCCCTTGCTGGAAACTGATACCTCATTAGAACTACTGATCTTCTGGCTGTGAAGCTGAAACAGAGAGGCAAGGTGTTGCTGCCGGCAGTTGAAAACAAGTTGTTCTGGTGTCCTGAAGTAAACTCACACCTTAGATTTTGTCTTTTTTATGTTCTTTGTTACTGTGTTGCTGTTACTCTGTTCTGAAATTCTTTCCTCAACACAACTAGTGCCACAAACCATGCTCTGCCTGGGGAGTGTGTGAATGGATGAGGGTTAACAAGACGGGACCCAAAAGGCTAACGTGGTGGCAGGAGCTGAGGATACAGGGGTTTAGTGACAAAGCAGTGACATAAATATGAGTCCCTGATGTACCATGCTTGACACTTGGCCCATTTGTCTGAAAAACACGGGGAAAAAAATCATCTTGAAATGACCTCTGAAAGGTGGAAGGTGAGGTTTGGGACTGAGGGGTATTACATCCTGTAATGGATACAGATCCAGTAACTTCTATCCCAGTCAGATTACCGGTCTGGCCCTGACTTCTTAAGACACAGCTGGAGATGGGGAAGTTATACGTGTGTGTGAATGAGGAAGAGAGTCTTTGTAATACAAAGAACAAGCAGTGTTTTTAAGATTGTGCAGATGTAGTTGTTTTTAAATGCAGAAATTGATTTTAGTAAATGTGTCAAAGAAACATAGCAAAAACAAAAATGTATTCTTAAAAAAATGCATGTATGTGGGTACAGAGATCAGTATTTCATACCATGTGTCAGGAAAGAGTGAGCTTCAGAAAAACATTACAAATATTTATTCAGGACTTCACATCAATGACACTGATTGTGTGTGCTGAGAGCTCAGCACAGCACTGTACTACACAATACAGTGATAGACAGATAACAGGTGAGGCGGAGCAGAGCAGAGCTGGCTGTCGCAGGCACAGTGCACTGGGACTATAAGGGCTTAGGGTTTTCCATGTACTCACACCCCCTCATTTACATTTTTTTTTTCAATTTTTGCTGTGAACCTAAGATAAATCACCTCATGATCCTTTTGCTTTATTAATTTTGTTTATTAGTTAATCACAGGACAGGAAAGCGAACAAAGACAGTGAAAAAAAGAAAGAGAGAATGAATCAGCTACTTTAAATGTGGCAGTGAAAA